ATTCTCGATTTGATTGGTTATACACAATTGTCTTTTTATAGATTCATCTTTGTTAAGGTTATTATTTAATTCAAAACTTACACATATGTTATTAATTTTAAGCTTTTTATTTTCAAAATCTATGACAGCTTGATATTTATTAAGTTGATCATAACCTATTATTATGTCGCATTGTAAATTAGGTAAAATTAATAAGTCTAGTGATATTATTTCATTATTTAAATAAATATCTATGTTTACAATTTGATTGACTTCACAAAGTTTTCTGTTATTAACGCCAAGAATATTAACCTTTGGAATTTTGAAAATATTTTTACATAGTTCTGGAAATTTATTAATAATATGTTGATTTATTAAACTGGCTTCACTTCCCGTATCTACTACTATATTAATTACATTTTTACCAAAATTAGCTTTAATATTTATTAATTCTGATGTTTCAGATAAATCTGATTTATCATCAACTTTTATAAATTCTCTGTAGTGTTCATACTTGCATACATTGAAATTTTTATTATTCGGAAAGTGCCTATCTAAAAATGGGAATCTGAAGAAATTACATTAGGTTCCTGATTTCCACTCAAATCAGTATTATTTGTCACTTGTTCTGATCTGTTTCTAGTGTCTGAACTGTCACTAGAGTTTTCCCTGCTTATACTTTGAAAATAAACTCTTCTTTGTGGCAGACTTGTTTCGTTTTGTGGTCTATTTTGAGAAAAATTGTTATTTTGGACATTACGATTATAATAACTGTTTGTGTTATTCCTATTATTATTGTTTTGGTTACTATAATTGGGATTGTAGTTTTGATTGTAGTTATTATTGTATCTACTTTGATTTTGATAATTATTTTGATTACCTCTATAATTAGTATAATTTTGATTTCTATTTTGATAATAAGAGTTATTTTGTCTATTTAGCAAGTTATTGTAGTTACTATTGTTATTATTAGACCAGTTATTATGATTTTGTGTATTTTTGTTTGCATAAGTTGTAGTATTTTTGTTATTGTTAATAAATTTTGCTTTATTGGTACTTCTTTCAACCCTCATAAGATATTTAATAAAATTGTCCATAGTTCTAATACCTTGTATAGCAATTGCATCATTTATTTCATGTCTGAAATGCCGAGATAAGAGAGTAACTACTTCCTCTTCCATAATTTTCGGTTCTAAATATTGTACCGGTGTGTAAATTTGCATAGCATACAAATGTGCACTATAATTTCTATTTTCGTCAAATTTGCCAAAATGTAATTTCTCTCTTATTTCTGACTGTTTTACACTACCCCAAAAATAACTTAAGAACATTCTTTCAAAATCGTCAAAATTGTTTATGTTGATTTCATTGCTAGAAAACCAAATTAAAGCTATACCAGTTAACTTGTTTCGTATTATTTCTTTGAAATCTTCCCTTTCTATATTTACATTTACTCTATCCTTTATTATCTTACAAAAAACTATGGGATGTACTTTTTTAATATCCCCGTCAAATTTTATATTACTATTACTCTCATTTCTACAATGTGTGACTATTACCTGCCCCCTGTTCTCTAAATTAATTTGTTCAAATTCTTTCTCCTTTCTGCGTTTTATTTCCTTTAGTTCTTCTTCTGTCTTTCTTCTAATCTCTTCAATTTCTTTCGTTAACCTTTCTCCTTTTTGTTTCATTCCTTCAATCTCTTCTGTCATGTCGCCATCTATAAATTTTTCATTATTTAATCGTTTTTGATTTCTATGCCTTGTTTCCCACTCTTTCCACTTTTCTTCGGTTTTCTTCAATTTATTTTCCATGTCCATTAGTAGTTTCTTTTCACATATCTTCATTTCTTCCTCTGCTATTCCCAAATTTAATTGAATTCCCTCTTTAACTTCATTTCGAACAAATTCTATCTCTTTATGGTTGCTCATCATATTTCTTTCTAGATCTTTGATATTTTTCTCACATTTTTGTATTGCAGTTTCTGTTTTTCCTATCTTCTCATTTAATTGTTTTTCTTGTTTGTCTATTCTTGTGTTTGTAACTTGTACATCTTTTTCCAGTCTTGAAATTTCTGTCTTAATTTCTTTTCTGACATCTTCTCTGATCATTTTAATTTCATCCAGCATTCTTTGTGTTTCTTGTCTTCTTTCTTGATTCTGTTTTTCTATATTCTGATTTAGTTTTTCCATTTCTTGTCTTCTTTCTTGTTTCTGTTTTTCTATATTCTGATTTAGTTTTTCCATTTCTTGTCTTCTTTCTTGTTTCTGTTTTTCTATATTCTGATTTTGTTTCTCCATGTTCTGATTTTGTTTTTCTATATTCTGATTTTGTTTTTCTATATTTTGATCCATGCTCTCTAATTTCGCAAATAAAATACTCATATATTCTGGCATTTCTTTACTTTTATCTCCTTCTCCTTTGTTCTCGATCTCCCGTTCTTCTTTCTTCTCTTCACTGTCATTTTCCTCTACATCTGTTTTAAATCTGTATGTCTCTATGTTCAAACCTTCTGCTTCCATTTCCTCTTGTAGTCTCTTCAATAAAATAATCTTATTTCCACTAGAGTCTAAATTTCTAGCAGCTAACTCTTCCTTAAGTTCTACCAGTTTCAATTCATAAATTGTCTTACCTTGTCCTTCCATTTTACTTGTTTTTTTTTTTAGCTAGATTATAGTCACAAATTGTATTTACGTTATAATTTAAATATTTTTTTTTTTTTTATAGCTTTGCTATAGCTTTAATATAGCTTTGCCCTACGTTGGGTACGCCAATTGTAATGATATATTAATAATATATGGGAATTAATTTATTTGGTTTCAATTGTTAGTTTGTCCTGAGTTTTATATGAATTTATTTTTTTTTTATTTTTTTTTTTTTATTTCTTTGACTGGACTATTATTCAATATTTTTTTTTTTTATTATTATTATGCCTGGTCTGTAGCTAGTCGAAGAGTAGAGATTCTAATCTCAGACAGGTGTTCTGCTATATTCTGCAAATCTATCTTATTCTTCTGTGATGAACTTTTACTACCCACCAATAGATGTCTTAACCAAATTTTTTTTAAATTGTTATTTAGTTGTAAATCTTTTTATATAATGAAACACGAATCAGAACACAACAACTATAATAATGATTTGGATGTAAATGGACATATAATATTATCATAAGATGCAAGAAAAAAAAACAAGATTAACTAATACCTTAAATCTATTACCAAATCAGTTTCACTCACGGTAGATTCTAATTCCGTTCGAATGTTGGTATCAATGTATATCACGTGTTAAATAACTATAACGAAATGGAGACCTTTTAACACCGTGAGTGCACTTGTGAAAATTATTCGAATAATTTTATGTAATTGGTAAGTATTAATTTTAACATACAGTATATTTATTTACTAATATGCGGGTATATTATTTTAAAATATATTCAATGAACTTATATCACCCTAATTCGAATGATGATACCAAATTATAGACAGTCTCTGTTTTATTTTGGAGATTTACTAATTTCAACTGAACGCTAGATGCGTTCAGCCTGAAAATCGCCTTCTGAATTAACTTCTAAATTCCTACCATAAATTCACGTGAATAGAATATAACGTCTAAAGATCAAATATTATTTTTCTTATAGGATGCAGCAATGTATTTTCATGCACACGAAAGTCGGCTTTATGTGCACAGTGGCAAGATGTGACTATTATAACGGTATGCGATAACACATACGGGACCCTGACAAGGTAAATAGTTAATAGATTTATCTCACCAAATTATAGCTTCTGACTGTGTTATTTGTACTAGTGCTTCCAGTACATTAGATTCAACTTTTTTAAGCACCTTTTAATTGCTCCAATATGCTTTAATTTAATTAATTCACAAAATTTTCTACCATAACCCTTTTTTTTTTTTTGTCATCCGGTCCCATCCGCCGGTCAACAACCTCCTAGCAACCGTTTTTTTTCAATCTCTCACTTTTTTTTTATAACTAACCAATCACGGTTATGATATTTTTCTGTCAAACGTATTTTTCTTAGATATTATTATTTTATTGACGTGAATGTTATTTTTACGTATAAATAAATATTTTACAGCGATAGTATGTACAAAATTATTAATGGTTGTGTAAATTCTAATTTAAGTGTTTCTCATAATTCAAATTTCAATGTATACCTGTAATTTTGATTGGTTGTCAAAAAGATTTCAGAATGCAGAATCTGATTTGTTGCTAACGTAATTTTATGACATTTCATATGTCTCTTTGTTTTGTGACTATTTTATATACAAAGTGGTTCATGCTTTAAATACACAGTGTGATTTTGCAAACTACGATCGACGATTTCTTAATAAACATTTATAAATTATCAAATTGACATTGAATGATGTAGATTTAACTACCATGGAGCGTAAAATGTTTCTAATAGTTGACCTGAACAATATTTATAAATAACCATCTAAATTATACAAACCATTTATACAGAGTGATGATGAAATCATTACAATATATTTGGCAGTTAACTTGCTAAATGAGTTCTCTCCTATTAGTATATTCTGTATATGTTATTGTTTATTGTTGTCTTTTTTGTTTTTGTTTTCTCGATTAACACCATTAGTGGAATTGATAAATTTTTTTATCAGTGATTGTATTTCGTTTTTTCCAACAAGCAGTAACATAGTTAAGTAGATTAGTTAATACTCTTCGCCAGATTGTATTTTGAGTCTAGCGGACTTTATCCGAACCCTGGAAAAGTCCCAGCTAATCAAAATATACCGTGAAAAGCTATAGCTCGTCGTAGCGTCGTCAGATAAAATCTGAGATACAAAAAAAAACGAAACATCTACAATGACACACCACGACGTGACAATATCTAGTTACTTACATCATGTTATGAATTAGATTTTAAAATGTTCCTCGAAATATAATAATGATATTCAATAATTTCTGAATATTAGTGTTAAATTTTTTATATTTAGACAGTGAAAATTAAAATAGGTATCCTCATAAATGAGATTCTACTTACCCATTTGGTACTGGACTCGGTAAAACTCTACCACCTCTGCCCATCGCTACAGCTTGTTCGAAGCTTAATGGAGTTTGGTTTGTATCCCTGACACCAGGGTTCATGGTGACACTATTGATATTCACATTTACATTGAGATTCTCTGAAGGAGAAATTTCCCTGAGAGGTTCACGTTCGAGCGGGAAAGTCTGCGGATGGTTGTGAGGAGTTACGTGCGCCGATTGTGATTGAAAATGTTGCTGAAAGAAAAAAGTAATTAATTTTTTTTAGAAATTTGATGATTAAGAGAGATATATGTGCAGAAATAAACGATCATCGCGACATACTGCACTTTGTGATAGAAAACCTCCAGGCAAGTCCAGAATTTACCCCCAAAAGTAAGATCTAAAATTATGATTTTTTGATATTGTACGCTTCGTATAAATTCATATTTTTGCTAATTTTAATTAATTATTTTAATAACTACCTGTACATAAAACTTTGTTTAATTATGTCGACAACTTCTTTTAAATTGCAATCATGTGCAAGGTTGGTTATTTAATAATTATTAAACATTAGTTTCATAAGAATGTACTATGGAGAAGTTATAAAGGAAATATCGAGGGGACGCGCAGGGCTTCTTCCACAGGGAAGGATCCTCCCCATAGGAGGCCCCCCTTGTAGGACATTTCCAGTAGCAACTCCAGCTTAGCCCAAGATATTTGTTGGAGTGGCAAGTTAATCTTTTATTGTCTATTTGTTAATATATTGAGCCCTATATTTGTGTATGTCGAGTTAGGACATATTTTGTATATATGTTTTAAATTATATTATATTTGTTTTAAGAACACTGTGTTTTCTTCAGCCACTTTTCAGGGACTAGTTAGGTTCTAACTTAATAGGAAAATTTGTTCGGTGGTCCATTTAAATTACATATATGACTTTCTTTCTCTTTTACATTGATATTTACATATATTTATCTCTCTCCAATAAAACTAACACCAGTCCTAGAGGTCGCTGATGTTGCTGGTTTTTTGACATTGACATGTCACGTATAGATTAGAACTGACAACTAACAATGTTATGAATGTTGTTATGAACGTGTGCATTTTATTAAAATTAATTTAATTTAGGCTCCGTTTATTTCGTTGAGTCTGATTTTGTTTAATTAATTTTTTTTAGCCCTTGTTATGTTGAGACAATTGTCAATTTTTGGGTTTTCGGTACCCAGACAAATACACCGTATGTTAGTATAGTCCATGCGACTGTGGGGGATAAACCCCAGGCTCTTTTGACTCTGTTTTCTAAGTGTGAGTTCCATCACAGCCTGTTAGTAATAAATATTTTTAAGAATTAGTAAAATAATTTCTTACCCTCTTAGACATATTGAATATTGTAAATATCCTTGTAAAAGTTGATTTTGAACACACCAAATGAAGAAGAAAAATACATTATATCCTAGTGTACCTATTCTTTTATCACTGTCGAGTCCTAATGAGACTCCGCAAGATAAAATATAATAATAAATGGTAGGTAAGTTCCACAAATTTATAAAATCACTACAATCTTACAAAAACGTATTTACTGAAAACCGTTATCAATTTATTAAATACGCTAGTAAAAGAAATATTAAGCTTTTAAACTTACATGGGTTGGGGATGCATTAAGTTTTGGAAAATTAATGGATCCTGGTCGGAGTTGCAATGTGGAGGGCTTGCAGGGCGTCGGGGGCAACCTTCTACCTTGGCCTTTGCGTCCTCCTAATGTAGGATTACTATGTTGCACGTTTCCCTGGTGGGCTGCAGACTTTTGCATCGGAATACCTACCACAGCACCAGCTGTAAAATACCGATCAGAGATATTTAAAAAAGTGATCAATGTATGATATATTTGTCACACCAAAACACCTATAAAGTATAGAAAAGACGAATTCTCACACTTAATAATATGTATATAATATTATTGTATTTTATTATTTAACTAATGATTAATGGATAATGATTATGTAGGTATTTAAAAATAGTGAAAATTCGATTGATTATCTAAATAGATTGTATTAAAATCATACGTTTGAAACTTAGACAAACATGCAAATTAAGACAGTTTTCAGATACATTTTATCTGGGTATCAACAGTACGCAGATTATGAATTTAAATATATTTTAATTCCCCGGTAATACATAGATAAGTCTTTCAACGTTCTCATTTAATAAAGAAAAGACTGGAGTAAGATTGTATTTTCTCATTCCACGACTGACTATGTATACCGATGACATCAATACTGTAACACGAGTAGGAGCTGGAGTATTTAGCAGAAATCCCAGAGTTGAAATATCAATACACCTGGAAATTTTCGCTAGCATCTTTCAAACAGAAGTTATGGCAATAAAAAAGGGTGCAAGATAACTGCAGTCCTTTATTTAAGACCGCACTTGAACTGTATTGATATTAGTTTCCGCACAAGTCAGAACAGATTCAGTAAGTGCGCTAAACAAAGCGTCTAAATTGAAATGAGATTCAGTGACACAATTCCTGAAAGTATACTCTATCAATAGACATAATCTAAAGTATCAAAACTATTACAGGAATAGCAGCTGGAATATTCAACAGAATGTCCAGACTACAATTTGAGAAATGTTCACAATCATAAATATTTCAAATAGAATTAGAAAAGGTTTTTTGACAAGAGCATAGATATGCATAGATATATCTCACAAACAAAAAATACATTTTTGAAGAGATTATCAGTTTCATTTGAGTTCATTAGAAACTATTTCGAAGTTTAGTTTGCTCAAAAGAGTAATTTAAATTCAGGGGCTTAGTTAGATGGAGGGCAAGAAGCCGATGAAATCGATAGAAGAGAAATCGAATGTGAAGGGTGAAACACTCAGATATATGAGATAAATCCCCAAGTTATTCGATGGTCTTAATTTTCAAAGAACGAGTATAATCACATCCTGGAATGGAATGAATTACTGAAGAAAGAACAGTATACTTCATTAGAATAAGTGGATTTGTCTTCTTCTACTGTGTGGCTTCATATTTATTTGGTGGTCATGGCCTAAGTGCATCCTTGATTAATTTTTAAGTGGAGGGAAATCTGATTATTCTCCTCTTTTGTCTTTTAGGTTAATAATTGTAAAATTTTACCACTTTTTTTTATTTTCAGCCTTGTGTACCTAGTACGTATCCCCAGTTGTTTAAATCATTTAATACTTAGTCCATCAACTCCGTTGGTATTTCATCCATCTATTTTTAGTTTGGTCGTCATTTCTTCTGCCCTCCATCTTTAATTTTATATATTCTTTACGGTAAACTATAAAATTAATTATACACCATAAGAGATCCCATTGTGGATCCTACTGGAACGTGACCTTACTGTTTGACTCATTTCAAGCATAATCTATACTATCTCAATGTATCAGGTAGTAGGTTAGGAATACTTAGTTTTGTAATATTAATTTCTATCGCCAGACTTCTGTGCTATCATTATACATCACATTTCAATTATAGTGATCTATAATCTATACAAGATTTCTATAAATATGCTATAATACAATCTATTAGAAACAGAAAGACACTGACAACAACACCGGCAGGTTTGAATGCTTGATTGGATTATTTTTGGAGAAAATCTCACCAATAAACGGTGGACCATGGTGATGCGGTAGTGATGAATTCGTCGGACTGGGGGATCGTGATCTTTGACACAGACTGGTAGTTCCATAATCCACTTTTCTTGAAAAATTAAAACCACCAAATCTTGAGTTATGATGTCGTCCTCCTGACGGCGATGGTGACCTTGTAGGACTGGTCGAAGCAGACCACGATCCTATAAAAAGCGAACGAACAAATCAACGTGCTAATTGAAATAGCTTTTCAAAAGATTTTCCTCGACACATGCAGAGAAAGATCGTTGCATACTTCTCCAGGGAGAAATGAAGTTTCACCTCTGGGTGAACGCCTGCTCCAGAGCTCTCATCTCTTATGGGCCCATCTGGGAATCAGATGAACCCACTAGAAGCGAGACCATCTGGATTTTCTCTCTGCTCGAAATATCTACTTTAAATATTCTGGTTACAAATGAATCATAGGTAATTAACTAGCTATTTTAAGCGAAACATCAACGTCCACTTATTGTTGGTGTTCTGACTATGATTGTTATATGTCTATTGTTCCATAAACCGAAAAATATTACGATACTTACCTCGAGGAAACCTATGTCGATGAGAAGCCCTTTGATGTTCGTGTTTTACAATTTCTACCACGTTCGAAACAGTATCTGAGAATCCTATATCATGATGTAAATGTTGCGGATATCTTCTCCTAGGCGACGGACTTCTTTGGTATGATGGGGAATTTTGTCTGAAATGAAATTAAATAGGTACAAGACGATGCTAAGCCTAACAGTAAAATTGGGAAAAAATAAATTGAAAACCTTAAGTTCTAAGGTAAAGGGGCCAACACTTCTATGAGCAATTAGCACAGCTTTGCTTATTTCCTAACGACTCGCGGTGCAAATGGCTCATTGCCAATTAACTATCTATATATAAATAGTTAGGTTTAAATTTTTGTTTACTGACGAACATTGAAAGTAGTATTGTTTAAAATACATTTAAACATGACAGATAATTTAAATACTGGTCCTGTACTTAAACCACACGTGTTCATTGATTACTTGACGAAGCAAACGTAATTGCATTCTATAGTTATTCAACTCAACGCTGGAAGACAAAAAACATATAAAAAAAGTTCAAAACAATTTTTAGAAATTAGACCCTATAAGCCGCACACTTTTGGATTCTGGAGATTTTCTATCCATCCTTCCCCCACTCCATTTCCTCTAACGGTTGTATAAAGGACCAAAAAGTAAGACGTAATCAGATTTTCGTTACTACATTCCCCTCCAAATTGATAATTGATTTTATAACGGATATTAATAATTGGAACTGTATTATATTGTCTGGACATTCTATAGGAGGGACCATTATGATCCTCCGAAGTAAAGTCACTTCGCCCACCCTCCAACTAGGTGCAGAAGGAGTGGGATGAAACATGTTTTTCGTAATTAGGGTATTTTGAGATTTTTGTTGTATATATATTTAAAAAATAAGAAAAATTCTAAAAGTGAGGTCAACCTCATTCACCGTTCCTTTTTTAGATACCTTTTCTGTACTGGTCGGATATAGTAGAGTGTTGGAGGTTATCCACACCTAACCCTCCCTTTTTTAGGGGCCTTAAGAGTAACCCCAAAATAGAAATTTAAATTTTTATCTTTAAAAAAACAGGTTTCATCCAGAGAAGATGCATATTTCCTGCCCTTTTGCAAAAAGGACAGGAACCCTTGTGAGTCTGTTTAGAGCAAGCCTGGCCTAGAGCTATATTCTGCTAGGGTAAACGGTGGTGAGAGTTTTGTATATACACAAGGTTGGTACAGTAGATACCTCCCTACCAAACTCCTATCGTCCAATCTGCCTAGCATCCTTTCTTTTAAGAACACTAGAAAGAATTCTAGATAAGCATATTAGAGAAGGGCGCCTTTGGGCAAATCAATATGCCTACCAAGCAGGCAAATCAAGTAGGCAAAATCAGTTATTTCCTAAAACACGGAGAGATTGCAATGGGTGCCTTCCTAAACGTAGAAGCCGCGTTTAATAACACATTTTCCCAGTCTGTGTTTGCTACTATTGAAACAAGAGGAATAGACAAACTGACCTGTAGTTGGATTAAAAGCATGCTGGCTAACCGGAACATCATTTCATCACAGTAGGGAGAGACGGTCACTTCCAGGCCTGCAAGAGGATGTACCTAAGGCGGCGTACTTTTACCCCTACTGTTGACCATTCTGGTGTACAACCTGCTAGACAAGGGGTAGATTCTCAATGCTATGCAGATGAACTGGTTGTCATAATTAGAAGAAAGTACGAAGAGGTAATCCTCAACAAGCCCTAAATACGATGAAGAGATAGTGCGATGTCTGTTAACCCCTGTATAACTGTTACCATCTTCATCACTAAAAATAAAGCGCTCGGCAAGCTTTGACAAGTTACCTTGGCCGGAGAAATCATTCCTTTTGCGGAGAAGGTGAAATATCTAGGGATTATCCTAGATAAAAAAACTCATTTGGAACCCTCAATTGGATAAAACTATCAACAACTCCAGATTATCCCTCTGGATCCTCAGAAAGATATGCGGCAAAACAAGGCGGATCAGTACTCAACTAATCTACTAGATTTACTTAACATTGGTAAAACCCATGGTGGGACAAGGGAATTCACTAGACGGCTAGAGCAAAGCTGGCTGGAATCGAGCGGCTTGCGTGCCTTACTGTCACTAAAGCAATGTTAACCACACCGATGGGAGCCATGGAGACCATGATGGACCTAATTTCTCTTCAAATGTTGCTGAAAAGGAAGGCCAGGATGTGTAAGTCAATGCAATGAAGAACTGCGATGGGACAAGACGGGGCTGATGAGTGAGTTTACAATCATCTCATCCTAGGCATGGTCTCTGACTCGCTTGAGAGAGACGTATGGAACAGGGAGGATAAAACCCTCATTCAGGTGGACTACGTGCTGTGCACGGACGGCTCCAAAACTGAAAAAAAAGTAGGTGCCGGAGTTTTCAGCCAGAAGCCAAGAGTTAACATATCAATAAAACTAGGCTCACTGGCCTTTCAACATGAAATGATTGGGAGCGATTGATAAATATTCTCCAAAACTATAAAGATAGCCAGGCAGCCCTCAACGCTCTGAGCTCTAATCGAGTTGACTCAAAGCTGGTTTGGAACTGTATACATACCCAGATTAAAGTAACTTTGTTCTGGGCACCGAGACACAAAGGTGTAGAGAGCAATGAAAAAGCTGACGCATTCGCTAAAAGAGCCAATTAATCTGAGTTGATAAGACCAGAAGCATTTCTGAGCTTTGCAAAGAGCACTATCAAAATAAAGGGTGGCTGAAACACTTATGAACTGAAGGGATACCACAGGGCTAACTCATTCGAAGACGCTTATAACCAACCCTTCCATAAACGCCCTTGCTCAGATTCGAGAATGGATAAGGAAAGAGACCTATGGTAACCTCTAGGTGGACATTTAGTTAAATCTAGATTGCCACAAATAGTTCGTAAATATTTTATTTGAAAATAATGCGATATTTTGCGGTATTTAATTATACCAAAGACTCTCCTAAAAAATAAGAACTTGGCATTTCAGAGAACATTTTACATCTCTATTTTATTTTAAAATGTTTCAGTGGCAACCAAAAAAATTTTCGGAAATTGTTTTTTTTTTGGCGAGTACCCTACATGAAATTACATTGAAATTTTTTTGACATTTCAGAGACGCTTGTTTTTTTAGGAAACTGAAGTTAATACTTTATGTCTTTATCAAAGGTAAAATAATAATTTCCTTACCAAATACCACACGTGCCTTAATTATTATCCAAAAATTTTTTCTCACTCAGGAATGTTTTTGGGATAATTTTCAAAATATTCGTGAATTCGTAAAAGATTTCGAAAATAATTTAGGCACTAGTGGTATTATAATAGTAAATGTTTTCTAATATTTTGAGGAGGAGCACTTCATTTACAAATGGTTTCTAAGGAAACTAAAACCCTTCGTAGAAAAGAAAATACAAGAAGTGCAAATTTATTTTTATTCAATCTTATTCCTCAAATAACGTGAACAGTTCAAAATTATTTTTTTAACAGAGATTTAGAGGTATTTTGGAAAATTGATGATCTTCGTAGGACTCTAGTAAATAAAGCACGAACGCAGATCAAACAGACTGTACCCTTCACCTTATCTAGCTACTATATCATTTAATTTGTAAAAATAAACATATTTTTTAAAACGCAACTCACCGATGATGACTTGGACTTCTCCTATGGTGATTAACGAAACTTCCAGGTCGCAAGAGAGCTTGGTCTCCAGTGCTGTCACAAGATGGCCGCCGTGACGTGATGATATCCTGAAAGTCCATCGCCTGTTGAAAATTTAAATGTTTAGCAATTTAAAAAATTATATTCAGGATAACTATCAGTAGACTAGTAGGAGAAAAAAAGATGAAAAAAATGTTTCCCATTTATAGAACAAGTCCTGACTATGTAGCATCAAAATAGCCTATGCATGCAAAAAAAGAATCATGCAATAATTGATAAATATTAAATAATAAAAATGCAAAGATAACATCAAACAACAGAGGCGATTAAAATACCGCCATGTTTAACTACTCGTTTTATTTAATTGATGTTTAATTAGAAATGCTTTACAGTAGTAGTGATAGTGAATGTAAATTGTGTAAGTGGAAACACATTAAAGAATCAATTCGGAAATTATAGAATAAAAATAAAAGGGGATTAACTAAAAATATAATAAATAGATACATATATGAATGATTAAGTTTCTAACTAGAAAAAATATCCTGTATATAATTTAAATAAATTAATAAATATTATGATGACGATAATTAAAAATGGGTAGTACTTATTCTTTATTATATTGTCTTCTAAATTAATTTTTGATCTTGATGCAAAAGAGAAATAACAAACAGTCCATGAAACTTGTGAAAAAAGTTGTATGAAATCGTAAAAATTGTAAAACAAATAATATATCAGGGTAAACATTATATAAAAATAAATGTTATAAAAAAATATATATTAAGAAAATCAAATAAAATATTAATATAATTATTGAAGAAAATGTTCGAACAAAGGATGATACATTTCCCAATAAACCATGGAATGAAAGTAAAAGTTGATTTGAACATTAAAAAAGTGTAAATTCCCGGAAATGTTTTGCAAGATAAAGCAAATATATAGAAAACAGTATTTTGTAATATCTGTCCAGTCAAAAACGTACCAGAACCATTATTAGAAACTGCGTCAACATTATGGACAAACGCTCGGATATTTCAATTTTTTTTAAAGGAAGAAATTTCTTTATAATTTTAACAAATGTCATATGTTACTCCTGTCCTCTTCGTCACTCTAAATAATAAAATGTATAATTTAAATAGTAACAAACAATAAAATATATTATTAGGTATCTAATGTTTTCCCTCTATTTAAATTTATAGGCTTTACTTTGCATAATAATTTTCTAATAGATCTATATACTGTAAAGAGCAGAGGACCAAGAATGGAGCCGTGGGGAACTCCATATCTTTTCTTTTTATATCACGAGAAATTCGTCATCAATTTAAAATTCTATTACTATTTAATGAATTGCTTTTGATGTAGCGCCCTCTAGCGGAATAAAAATATGTTACATATCGTCGGTTAAGAAGAAATGTGTCCTATGACCATTTAAACTTTGTTTTGTCCATTTTATTTGAAAAATAAGTTGTTGGCATAATATCCTATTTAATTCTATGCTATTTAATGTCCTAAGATGCCGTATGGGGAACACATTTACCTAGAATTGTCTTCATTATAGGGCAATAATACTTTTAAATGCGTAATACACAAAACTAATGGAAAACAACTTATCTACTCTTGTTGCACAAACTGCTATTTAAATTAAACAATTTAAGAAAAATTAAGAAAATTAAGAATTAAAAATAAACACTTGACAATAATTATTATACATATTTTATAAACTATTTAATTTAGTAAATGTTCAACATGTCCTCCTCCTTCTTGAATACAAAAATATAAATAAAATAGGTAGTTTTTGCAGAGGTGGCTCAAGCACAGCCCTAGACACACACACACATGTTGAAATACATGGTCAATTTTTGGAATGACACAAAATTTCTTTTTTCTCGAAAACGGTCGACTTTAGAGCGTATGACCAAGAGTACCTTTTTTGTGTAGAAAACATTGGCGGTTCAAATGGGCGTCTCAAAACCGTACTTTTTATAGTGACGTAGAATTATTTTTTTTTAATTTCAACACCTTGTATCTCGAAAATGGTGTATTTTAGAGGGTAAGTTAATAGAAACGTTTTTTTATATTTTTGGACGAGCTATCACGTCCTGAAATCCTGCGCATATATTATGAAACACCCTGTATATTCACTCTAATTTAAGTTTATATTTTATTCAATTATGTTTTGTTATGTTATGCATTAAATTAATAATAAAATTAGCTTTCAAGTGAAGTGTCACAATAAGTGTATTATTTATTGTTTCGGCCTTTACTTGATGAAAATCCATTTCATCTTGAATGAGTAAAACCAAATTTGGTAGATTTTCACAAAACTTTTATTTAAAAAAATAAAAATTAAAAACACTATACATGACATGTTTCGAAGTACAACTTCTTTTTCAAATGTGAAGTTGTACTTCGAAACATGTCATGTATAGTGTTTTTAATTTTTTAATTTTTATTTTTTAAAATAAAAGTTTTGTGAAAATCTACCAAATTTGGTTTTACTCATTCAAGACAATAAGTGTAAGTGTAACAATAAGCAACAGTTCTTTATCCCGCTAAAGGGGTCTGAAATCAAAACTAACACAATATAATTAAATTTTTAATGATGTTTCATACTTGATACTTTCGATCGTATTGGTTAGAGTGAGAGTAGGCAATTGAGGATATGATAGAAAGATGTACCCTTTTATACTGAATATTTGATAACTTTGCTTATTAATATAATTTTTAATGTATAACCTTTCTGGGAATTTACTTTATTTTAATTTTCAAATCAACAGGACAAGATGGAGGTAGTTTACAGTTACTCAGAAAAAACAAAAATCTTGAAATAATAAATTTTAAATTTACAAAATTTTTGATCTGAGGATTTAAGAAAATACCGATTATTATTTGCAGTGTTGCTGGATCGACCGCTTTATGCCACAATACTTGACATTTTGGTTTTGAAATGCAACCCTGTATATTCTTTTTTTTTTGTTTCTACTCTTGAATTCGAGTTCAACGATTTTATATATTTATTTTATTGATCGAAAGGTTAGTACGATGGTTCAGCAAGACAGAAAGCGCAGAATTCGTATCCAGCGCGGATTTTAAAAATGTTTTCCTTAATTGTTTTCACATATAAGGACGTTTCCGCTTTTCATTATTTTTTTTTTGGTATTACATTTAAGCGGAATGTTAGTAAATCCCCAAATTTCAAATTTTGTAGAACCCGTTTTCGAGAAAATTAGGCGATTCCTGCTGACTTTTCTCAAACAATATTATCATCAAAAAATAAACACTTTTATTTGATAAACAAATAGTTTAATATGGACTATTCTTTCTAGTTAGACTTGTTAATTTTCTTTAAAATGAGGATGATATCGATTGTCATCTGTCTACAAAAATAAAAAAAGAGGAATTAAAAAATTTACGAACAAATGTAAAAACTGGAAATTGAGATTAAACATATTTTAGTTAATTAATTAATTTTACTAATAATTGTTTCATTGCAATTTTGAACTATTTTTATTTCCGTATTACCTTTAAAGCTTTAAGACGCCACATAACATAAGTTACTATTCTAGAATTAAATATTTTTACATAAGTATTCAGTGACATGCCTTTTTATAAAGTTTTTTAAGTTTGTATACTAGTCTAAAATTGTGAAAATGTTTGCATTGTTCATGCAAAGGTGTATATTTATAATGATTCAATGAAACCAGATTCATAATTCTTTTCTTTTAGATTATATATATATTTTTTAATAAACAATGTTATTCTAAAAATACCACTATTTACTCAGTTTTTATGGAACATTTCTTACAAATAGAAACCAACTTTTTACTGAGTAATCTATCTAATAAGTATACCATTTATTTGCAAATTTTATGACTAAACAAAAAAATTAAATATACGATGTGCTGGTTCTGATCCCAGAACAGACTACAATTTTTTTAATTAATTTTCTATGGTTCGTTGTATATGTAAGGAACCTAAAAAGTTTGGGTTGCCTCAAGAACTGATGAGATGTATAAGTAGTAATTTAATTTATGTTGATACTCTCTAGATTTCAACACATTTTGCTAAAAAGGGTGGCCGGATGGTGTTATACAGACTCCTAATTGTGGGTGGTCAATACAGGAAAGAACTGCAATGAGATAAAATAGAACTGCCATATTTTAGGCATGGTCTCAGACTCGCTAGTTCACTGACAGGACATAGAAAACTAAAACAGTGTTCTCATTCCAGAGATAGATGAATGAAGCAAGGGGATATTTTTCTCTCCCAGACTGACCATGCAATTTACATGAAAGACTCAAAAAATATGTAACAACAAAGAGTTGTTGTTTGTTGTTTTCGGATATTCAGGCATTCCTTAAAGCTCTTAGATCTAACCGTGTTATTTCTAAGCTACCTGAAACAAAGTTACTTTGTTCTGAGTTTTGGGACACATCAGTGTGGAGGGCATTGAAAATGTCGACTTTCTTGGTAATAAAGGAATCGAATCTAACTTTGTAGGAACCAAAACTATTAATTTGTATTAAAGAGCACCGATGGAGTGATATTAAATTGAACATATACTTTATACCTCTAGTAATGGGGAGATAACCCATATCTATGCCCTACCCTTCTATGAACGCCTCTGCTCAGAGTAAATAGAGTAGTAACAATGTTCTCATTCTTACAGTGCTGATGACAGGATATTTTTATCTAGGACCAACATGAAAAGGATAGGTTTGCAACAAATAGCAGGCTGTCGATTCTGCAGCGTGGAAAATTAATCTGCAGAACACATTTTATGGATCGCTCCGCCTTGGAAAAAACTAGATCTCAGATCTAACAACTCTTACCTAACTCAACCATGGCCTTTATCAAAGGGTGTGGTTTGTACAATGAACTATAATTTAGGCATGATCAATAAATGGGTCGCAGTGGAAGGCAATGTGATCATACAAATCGTTGTCGGTCTCATATGAAAAGAACACAAGTCCAAAATTGTATTTTTTACAGAAAATAAAAAAAAACTATTTTTGAACGATTTTTCTTATGTAGTTAATATTTAATGTTGTAGTTGCATTTTTGTTGACATCCTTCCAAGAAAAATATAGCCTATTTCTCTTTTTAT